AGACAGGAGCACCGTGTCCACCAGGGGCGTAGCCACCACCCACGGCCACGGGCGCTGGCATGGGCTGGTATTCAGGCACAGGGCCACCGGTCAGGATAGGGAGAGACAGATTCTGAAGACCAAGGAGGCGCTGGCCAACCGCTGCGTAAGAGTGAAGATCGAACTGACGGCGTTTCAGATCGCCAAAGAACTCGTTCAGAGCGTCGTAGCCCCTCTTCTTGGATTCATACGAAGCATGGCCGTCGTGACCGTGGTTGAGAGCATAGTATACGTTCCCGTAGGAAGGATTGGACGGCTGGTGTGGGGGATGAGACGAATAGTATTGGGGAGCACCGTGCGCATATCCTTGGCTGGGCACTGCATTCAAAGATGGCTCGAAATAATGGGCGGCAGCAGCATAACCTGATCAAGAAGGATCATGTCAGTTCCAAAATTGCAAAGCGAAAATCGGCATTCGTCGTTACCTTTTCCAGCTCCATGAAACATCATATCCGGATTTCTGGCACCCGGCTCAGGCGACCGCACAAGCACCGAGTCATCGGCATGGGTCTTCACGTGTTTCTTGAGATCTTGGGGACGCTTGAATGCTTTTCCACAGAATTCACATTTATGAGGCTTCAGAGGAACGTGGACACGGATGTGAGACGTGATATGGTCACGCTTAACAGTCGTGGTGCGGCAACTTCCCCACTGGCATGTCAGATTGAGGTTATTGGTGCTCTTTCGACCGACGTGACGCTCGCAGATGTGATCCTGATCCTGTCAGTCTTGCTCAAGTAGCCCAGGTGTTTGTGTTGTCCGGTTTGAGGGTGTTCTTGCCGAGGATGAGGCGATTAAAGAGATGCAGGGTATGACGAAATGACAAAGACTTACATAAAGTGACTCTGGAGAAGGACATTTCTCAGAGCAACCCTGCCACAAGCAGGAAAGTTGTTCGTCACTTGGAGGAGTTCCGTTCATTTGGGGAGCACTAACAGCCGCGGTCGCAGCAGCCGCGGTCGCAGTCACGGAAGCGGGAGGGGTCGAAGTAGACACAGGAGCTGGGGTTGTAGCTGCAGGCTGCGACGAAGGCTGCTCCTGCGAGATGGGTCCAGGCATAGGGGCTGCCGTTGCCGAAGGCGAAGCAGTTGTGTTGTTGGTTGCGTTATCTTGGTGTTCAGACATTGTGCCAAGACTGATTTCTTGTCCCTTTTCTTGGGAGCAGCGGAGAATGAAGGGAGGATATCAACGCAAGTTAACTGCGATGAATCGTGTTTCTCACCACAGGGAGAGAGGGGGGAAAGGGAAGAAGGGTTAAAATGAGTCAGAGAATCAATTTATCGGAGAAGCGACGGACGTCGTCTGCCAGAAAATGATCGGCAAGACTCGCCGCGAAAAGACAACGCAAAAGAAGCTGTAAAGTCGTGTACACGCGGCACACGTAGACAAGAGTTCTCAACGAAGTGAGTAAGATAGGAAGAAAGGGAGAAAAGAGGATGGAGATGGAGGAGGGAAGGGGGGGTATGGATGGATAGAAGAGAGGAAAGTCTTGGAAGAAAGGAAGAGGAGGCAGAGGGGGGGAATGCTTGGGTTCTTGTCCTTGGGCCGGGCGCAAGGTAAAAAAGGACAACAACTGTGGGAAAAGGAGGGGGGGAATAACAGCCCAGAAAGTCGTACGGGAGTAAACTGACTACCTAGGAGAGTAGGAGAAGTATGATGCCCAGAAGCCCAGAAGCCCAGGAAAAAGCGCATTGCACAGCCGGGCGGAGGGACAACCCAAGACAGGGACAAGACCGGGCCAAGAGCCATGCGGGCCCAAGCCTGAGTGGCGTCGAGCCACGACACATGACTGGCCGAGACGAAAATTGCGGGTGGGCTGTGCTGATCGGTTAGGTTAGGCAAGTTACAGAGTACAGTGCACCTGATTGGTAACAGCCAGTGGTACTGCTCCGTCCACGCCTGTTTGGCTCTTGTATTGAGTTTCTCCGTGACCTGGAGGATAGATCAGACGAGTTCAGTGATTCCATCATAATGTAGATATTTTTTGAGCAAAAATCATAGCTCACGTTGAGCATGATCTCATGGAAGTTGTCAGTGTCTAGGAAGAAGAATTATCTACAGAAGAAGATCCCACAACACTGAACAGAAGGTCGCTTGCCGGGTGAAGCAATTAATCCGATCCGAGCAGCTCACCGGCGCTAAGGCAACATCAGAACAAAACCATACCAGGAGTTACCGATAAATTACACGATTCCGTCTACCTCCAAAAAACCCCGCATCCTTGCTAGACTCGAAGGAGCAATAATAATTCTGAGAGGAAAGATGTTCATATTATTGGTGATCATAATGGCCTAGGACTCCAAAGTTAATAATAATACAAGCGAGGTCGTGATGGAAACTCATTACCTATTTTTGACAAAGCGACAAGAAGACCAAGACTCCAAGAGTTCCTCTCCCAGTTGCACCACAGAACCACGGCCACTCTCTTGGCAACTCGTCTCCCGCCCCGTGGATGGGAGTCTTGGGACTTGGAAGTTGAGGTGGCCAGTTTATGGAGTACCCATCATCCGATCACTACTGTCTGAGCCATTATTCATCCTCTGACACGTGTAAAACTGCAGAGACGCCGACAGTGGTCACCTCCATGATTAGTTTGGATTAATCCACCATTCAAGTCACCGGTGTCGGGTCTTCGTCGTGAGCACCAAATTGGGGATCTTCCGAGGCAGGCCCGGTCTTATCCGGGGTAAGATAATACTACCGGGAACTTGGCATGTTATTATTGACAGCAAATCAATCCTGCTCGTAATAATGCTACCTCAATATAATCCTAGACCTAGTCTACTCCTAGGTACCTTAGTCTCGTATGTATGTTTGAGCAGCGAATTCAGCGGGATTAGCAATAATATTCGGTACAGATCCGTCGAGGATATGACCACTGCTCAACTAGGGAGAGTACTTCTGATTCAGTGCTGGTCAAGCGAAATCACTAGTATCTATCTGTCTAGGGTGACAACGAGTAGTTGATGACAGCCTGATGACAAGCATGTCAATCCTACCGTCAGTCCTAAATTGTGGTGTGCTGAGAGCATGTCAAGACTTATGAGTCGAGACCACTGCCCTCCGAAGGAAGGTGAGGCAGTAGTAACTAGCCTCATTGCAGCAGCCTAATAATAACATCAATTTATCCCTGATCCCAGGCAACAACATATTTTCATCTCACTCCCAATAAACATACGGAGTACAGATCTCTAATGCAAACAGTACGACTTAGTCAGACACAAGGAACCGTGTCATTAGCCCTCGACCGTGCATGAAGCTGTACAGGAATCCTTGAATTATTCAACTCCAGCAACAATGTCACTCATCTGCTGTGAGCCGTGGATTAGAGCCTCTGATAGCCTTCTTTCGTCCAGCTGTACACTGATTTCAAACAGAGGACTTGTATACTCGAGCATGATGAATATAGATACCAGCAGAGCGGTGAAAGAGGACATTGGATCCACCACAATCCTTTCTCCAGGCTCCGTACATCAGCAGGCGTCAGATTCAACCCTCATACACGCGACGATGCCAGTCAATTGTCCATCAAAATTGTATTGAAAGACCTCAAGTCTATCCTTTTTGGATTTCTGTAATTCATTTGAACCTCTGTCATCAATGGGTTGATCCGTCTTTACCCCGTTTTTCTTATTGTCAGTCTTTTCCTGCATCAGCACATAGACCTGTATATCTTCAAAATTGTACATATACCATGTCAATCAGACTCTCTACCGTCCTGTCCTCCCTCTTCTACCTCCTCCCTCTCTACCTCTTTGTCCTCGCCCCGCTCCTCCGCCAATTCTTCCCAGAAGAAGAATCCCCCCTCAGCCCATCCACCACCGACTACCTCTTCCCCAACGGCGCAAACGACCAAGACGCAGATGACCTCGCCCCCTCCCAAGCCCTCAACCTCCTCGACGACACCTTCATCAGCATCGACGACGGCATCACCACCGACTGCCCCCTCGACCCAGCCTACCGCATCCACTTCCTCTCCCGCACCCCCCTAGTTATCTACATCGAAGGCTTCCTCACCACCCCCGAAGCAGACCACCTCGTCGACATCAGGTACCTTTCCGCCCTCCTTCCCCCGTCCCACACGAGCCTCACTAACAGACACAAAGCGTAGGAAAATACACCCCCAGCATAATCTACAACGGCATCACCGAGCGCATCGACCCCTCCACCCGCCTCTCCGACCGCGCCCTGCTCGACCGCGACCCCACCGTCCGGTGTATCGAGGACCGCGCGCGCGCCTTTCAGGGGTGGCGCCCACACCTGTACATCGAGCGCATGTGGGCCCAGCGCTACAACGCCTCCGGCCACTACAGGCACCACTATGACTGGGCGGGCTCCGTCGCGCGCGGCGGCGACCGCGCCAGCACGTTCATGGTTTATCTGGATGATAACTGTACCGGTGGGGGGACGAATTTCCCGCGCCTGCGTATGCCGGTTGATAGGCGGTGGTGTCGGTTTTTGGAGTGTCAGGACGAGGATGCGTCGGAGCTGGAAGATGGGGACAGGGACGAAACACAGAAAAGAAAAACTAGGGCTAGGGGGACGGGAGAAGGCATCACCTTCAAACCTATCAAGGGTAATGCGATTTTCTGGGAGAATCTGAGGCCCGATGGGACGGGGTATCCCGAGACATGGCATGCGGCGCTGCCCGTCACGTCGGGGACGAAGGTTGGCTTGAATATTTGGAGTTGGTACCAGCCGCCGCGGAGGAGTTGATTCAATTCAATAGAGTGTATATACTGTAGACTAGTGAACCAGACCAAAGCCAGATAGATTGTATATCTGATTGAATAGAATATGTGTAATTGACATTAAACTACCAGTACTAACCTATAGAATAAAGGCACTCCGTATATACCAGTCCTGAACGCCAAACACATGACATGACCGTACACTAGTTTCTCATTATCTCGTAGAACAAAATCGAATTTTTCAGACCGTATCATATGCTGCACCATTCATCAACTTCCCACATTCATCCACTGGATCCAGTCGTCGTTGGCGAGCGTGTTTGGTCGGCATGGATCGCCGAAGATATCGTCTAGAGGGAGAAACCCCATGTCAAGGCCCGCTCCCATTTCATTATTCTCGTTCATTCCCATGCTAAAGCCCTGCGATACAGTTGTCGTCGGCACCTGCTGCGGCCCTGACGAATCCTGAGGGAACGTTTGTGGCTGGAAGTTGTATCCTTGCCACATGAAGTTCTGATTGGGGATAGACACCAGGTCGGGGCTGTTGACCGCCTCGGTGCCGCTGCCAGGAGTCGAGCTATGCGACACGGGTGACTGCAGCCGAGCTTGGTTTATAACCTGCTGCTTCTGCGGTACGACACGATGCGGGAGTGTGCCATTTATGCCGGTTGACGTTCCATTATCAAAAAGCGGGAAAGTGCCAAAGTTGTCAAACGTCGGAGTGGACACCGCACCCATTGGTGAATCATTCGAGGTCGACGACGGTAACCCCTGCGATGACGGGTCGAATCCGAACTGATTCGTTGACTGTAGGCCCAGTCCGTCGACGCGGAAATGGTCATCTTCCAATGTGGACATTGGTTGAGTGGGATAGGCAAAGGGATCGTCGGATGGGAACATGATGGGCATGAGGTCCGGCAAATTTCCGGTATTGGCCAACTGCTGTGCTGAGAATTGCCCCGACGAGGGCTCTCGCGAATGCATCCCCGGCATTGGAGATGCCGTGGTCGTTGCGCGAGCTTGATCGGCAATAAAGGGCTCGGGCGTCGTCGTGGTGGTGTCGGTACGGGGCTCCGGGGTAGACGGAGGCCACGTTGGGGTACTGACTTGGGTATTGACTTGGCTCTGATACATCTTGCCACCGCCAAAATTATGACTATCGTCCAAGCTCTTGGGTGTATTGCTCGCCTCGGCCTTGGACTGTCGGCTCAGTAGTTGCAGCGGAAATGTACTAGCTCTCTGCGGAGGCGCTATCTCCGGCGCAGGTTGCTGACTCTTCACATTTGCAGCAGGCCGAGAGACAGCGGCCGGCGCTGGACGCTTGAGATTCACAGGCTTCACCGAGCTCTGGCGGTTTTTCAAGAGCTCGGGGAGGTTCTTGAACAGAGAATTGAGACTCTGCGAGCAGCGATCTGCCGCCAAACTCTTCTTCGCCAGTCCCGCCAGAGTGTTCTTGCCCTCCATGGCGTCTTTCAAAACACCGTCCTTGGCCGTCGGCGAGTCGGGATTCTCGAGCACAAAGAAGATCAACGACAAGATGGCGAAATAGGTCGTGTACATAGTAAACCAGAAGGACCCATTGAGCAATCCTCGCTTGTGCATGCCAGTCGTAATATGGACAATATTTCGTGAGACGCTCACACATGCGGCGGCGCAAGCGTATGACCGCCGGTCCACACCTCGAGCTTGTGACCCGCTAGACACATAATGCAAGAAGGGTCGATACATGACAACCTGCACGTGAGCATAGCTGATTCGCAACAGTTGTCGGATACTGTGAACGCATTAGTCACAGACAGCAGACGCGATAGGAAAAGAGGTGCATACCGTTCTAACTGGGGAGATACCTCCGTCCCCGGACGGAGAGCTGCAGGCAGTTCCTCCATCCAGGTCTGCAAGTCGCGCTCGATTTCGCGAATCTTGGAATGACTCACCATGTAGCGCATATCCGACTTGGACGGATGCAGAGCATTCTTCACTGGATATATGTACTTTACCACCTTGAGAATGATGTTGGACAGCCGAGTGTGGGCATTGGCCCCTGCCATCAAGGGCGTATAATCCGACGGCATGGGCAAAATACCATCCTTGGTGATAAACTGCCCATCAACATCCACAGGGTACTCCTGATCGATGTCGTCATTGCTCAACATCTGGGGCAGCCCCAGCATGGTGCTCACGTAGACGTCCATCTTCCGTACGACCCAAAAAATGCGTTTCCGCAACTCTCGCTCGATGGGGTTGAAGTCGGCGGCTACAGAGCGATGCAGGCCTAAGCGCAGAGCCGAACGGAGCGCTATTCCCACATACGAATAGCACGTACTTAGTTTGGCGGAGGATTGTAAGAACAAGACCATGAAACAAACCGCTTGTAACGAGGTCAAATCACGGCAATCGGTGATGTCCAGGAGTTGCCGGCCAGCCTTGAAATATTGAAATCTGTAACGCGGAAAAAATCAGTTGCGGCCGATGAGGGACTTTTTATAACTCAACTTACCCTTGACCAATAGCGCCTTCATAACCTGCAATATCCAGGGTACCAGCCCCGTCATCCGAGAATAAGCAACCAACAGCTATGACGATGTACAGAAGCGGCAAGAATGAATTCTCTTCGTTTCCAAACTGCTCCGGAGGGGTATCATAGATTCGATCTAGCATGGCGAAGAAGCTGGGCTCGTGCACGAACCGCATAAGAGAACATCCCTCGTACAAAGCGTGTTGGCACAGACGCTGTGCAACATCCCGGGAGGGCAGATCGTGAGTGGGGGGCAGCGAGGAATCCGACGGAGACTCGGACGTCGACTTAGGGCTATCCAACATCTGAGAGAGGACCCGTGTTCGGAACGACGGGACCGGCATGTCTGAAGCCCCAAGTTGCTTGCGCAATCGTTGCAGGAAGATGATACCGGAGGTATGTCCATGATAATCCCAATGACCCTGGTCATCCAGATCCAGGCAGCCTGAATTCTCAACCATAGACTCCAACAGCGACTCGTCACCGGCACCACCGTCCGCTGCGTCTGTTGTCGGTTCAGGAGCAGTCGAGGTTTTAGGGGCGCTTGCGGTTGGCATTGGCGGCTGCGGTTTTTCCTTTTTGATGGCGGCCAGCATCTGCTCGGTCGCATGCACGTCAAACTGGGGGTCGTCCAGGTTCAGGTCGGGTAGAACCACGCGGAGAAGGGCTTCGGCTTTATGCAAACGATTCTCAAGTGCCTCGACATATTGCGGAGCAGGGTTTCGGCGCCGGTTCGAGGGTTGATCATATGTACATTCTGGAGCGGTATCAAAGTCAGAAAAACCGAAGATCCATGGTTATGAAGGCCAAATTACCATAGCTATAGACTGTGCAATGGGTACACGGCTGTTTCCCATCGCACTTAATTTTCTTGCGACGACATTCATCGCAGGCGCGAGTCACCCGGCGCCGCTTCTGCATGGGAAGAGGCTCCTTCGTCTTCGAATCGGAAAGATGGCCATGACTGGAAGCGACATCGTGAGGATGAGCAGGGAGTGCGGATGAATTCGAGTCGTCATAGTTGTAAAACTGTGTATCTGATGCGGATGCGGGATCGTCCTCGTTAGAGGTCTCGGCGGGGGCGCCGGCGAACGGGCTGGAATTGGCGGCCATTCTTGACGATGACGTTGGCGCAAGGGTTCATGCAAGGGGACGAATCTGATAGATTTGGAAGAGGAATGAAATAACGGCCCGCGTGGCGATGCAAGACCTATCGCACACGAGGGGCAGATCGGAGGATTACCGCAAGAGTCATGGAAGGCACACGGAGGAGTGTGTCTGAGTAAGAGAGAAGGGAAAAGGCGAAGAGGGATGAAGTAATCTCTGCGGCTAAAACCAATAAAGAGTCCACAATGGAACTTTGTTCTTAAGGTACTGGGATCCCAATCCCTTAAGGGTCGTATTCCCGGCGACAGGAGCCAGACAGCCTTAAGTCCGACCGAACAGTAAGTACTCCGACCGAAGAGGGATGAGTCAAAATCAACAAAGAAGGGCGCACACTCGGCCTGAGTAACAGTAGAATATCGGAAGGATTATGGATGCCCAAGAGACATTCAGGACCGTGAAAATGCTCGAATAATAGTCGAATAAAAGACGGCGATCCCCCAGTTAGTCGGCGTCCCACTTGTGGTCTTCTTTTCCCTTCTGGCTGCTTATGCTTCCGTGGTTGGTCAGTGCTTCCGCTTTCAGTAGAGCAGTGAAAATGGCGCAAAAAGGATGAGCATAAAAAGATGACAAACCAACAGGGATGGTGTTGGACAGGGAATACGGCAATGCCGGAACAACAGTCTTTTGTGCAGTATGCCTCTCGTAGAGCTGTAGATATATCAAAAGCTGTGGGAGAAGTGTCGGAAAAGTATTCACGCACCTTTGGGCGCACAAACTGGGTCAACCAGGATATTTCACGACTGGGATGAACTGATCGGGCCAGAACCGGTCTAGAAGAAGAGAAGAATGAGAGTGATAGACGATGAGACAGTGAGAACGACAGAGTGAGATGATTTGGATGATTATCTCCCTGATCAGCGACGCAACAGGGTTGAACTCTCAGACAAGGCACCAAAGGCTTTGGCTAACACCAGTAGCGTAAGCATCGAATGTTCGAAGAAGCCTCGGTAGATAAATTGCGTAAAAACTAGATACCGAATCTTTGGAGAGGAAAAAAAAAAAAAAAAAATGTTCTGTGACGCCTTTAGAGCATCTGATAAGCTAGAAGTTGCGAACAAAAGAACAGGAGGGTCCACTGGTCCGAAATGGAGAGATGGGTCTGATTCACCCACTCTACTCCGTGGATACATACTCAGTCTGCTGACTTACTGTAGGTACCTCTGTAAGGATACTACTACTCCTGATGTACTTGACAGATATTAATAAGAGATAGCTGTTCTATTCTCCTAAGTAACGTCGAAAGCATGCCAACCGGAGGCAATGGGATATGAATAATCCTAGTCTGAATGAATGCACTAAAATGTACTCCATACCACACAGTATCTGTCATTCCGACTCTCCATCTGCTGCTGATTATTCAGTTGTCTTACATAGAAAATCCCCTCATGCTTAAAGAAGGTTTATAATCGTAGTCCTAATCCTAATCCTAATCATAGTACAATCATGGTCAATGGAGGAATTATACTTTGAATAGTCGCCACCTGAGCCAACAACTATACATACTTAATGATCTCCCAGTCTTAATTATGACTGACCCCAGCGAAAGACTCTACACAATCCCCCTAGCCAGCTAGACAAGGGGAAGAAAATATCTCAACGACTTGAATGGTTCACAACAGACAATGATCTCTGAAATTTGCTGTTCAGTTTAATCTATCATGACCTTTTTACTTGTCACTCTCTGTTGTATCTTTGCCACTCTAGGATCCTTTCTCTTTGGTTACGATTCGGGGGTGATTGGGTCAACGCTCCAACAAGAGGCCTTTCTGCAGCATTTCAATCACCCTTCTGATGCAGCCACTGGAGGCATTGTCTCTTCCTATAATGGTGTTTCATCCCGTTACTGCTTTTTGGATGAAATTTAGATCTAACATGCCACAGGAGGAGCCATTCTGGGGTCCATCGCGGTCCCCTACATCTGCGACCCCTTTGGCCGCCGCCCAGTCATGTTTGTAGGCGCTCTCCTGGCCGCCCTGGGGGCTGCTCTCCAGGCTGGAGCTATGCACATTGCCATGTTGATTGTCGGCCGTTTGATTGCTGGCTTTTCCATTGGCTTGATGTCGACCACCATTCCGATCTACTGTGTGAGTGCTGTCCAACAACCATCCTACACACTCGACATGCTCTTCTGCTAACCGACCCCAGAGCGAGGTTTCTCCGGCGCATATTCGTGGCTTTCTCGGTGCGATGCAGCAGTGGATGCTTGGGCTGGGTGTGGTCGTCGCAGTATGTCCCTCTTGACTCTCTTTTCCCGGACAGTTGACCGCTGACTGCTGTAGCAATGGGTCGGATATGGCTGCTCCCTGCACACGGGCGCCTTTTCCTGGCGGTTCCCTCTAGCCGTCCAAGCCGCCCCCGCCGTCATCCTCGGTCTTGGAGTCTGGTTTCTCCCAGAGTCGCCCCGATGGCTGATTGAAAAAGGCCACAAGGACGCCGGCAAAGCCGTGCTCAACCGCCTGCATCTCAACCACACCCGCACCAACACCGACCTCATCGAGTCCGAGTTCACCCAGATCTGCGAGAGCGTCGCCTCCGACTCCTGCACCGTCGTCTCCTCCTGGCGCCAGCTGCTCTTCTCCTCGCCCACCTGGCGCTGCCGCGTGCTCCTCGCCTGCGGCATCCAGGCCTTCACCCAATGCTCCGGCACAAACGTCATCCAGGTCTACAGCCCACGCATCTACCGCTCGCTCGGCCTCCCCACCTCCACCACCCTCATGATCACCGGCGTCTGGGGCGCCCTCGCCCAGTTCTGGAATACCGTCTTCCTGCTCTTTATCGACCGCGTCGGCCGCCGCAAGCTCCTCATCCCCTCCCTCCTCGGCATGGGCGCCGCCCTCTGCGTCGAAGCCACACTCGCCCGCTACTACGGCAACTTCGCCCCGGACGCGGACTCCTCGGTCCCTTCCTCTCCTGCAGCCCTCCGCGCCGCCATCGCCATGTTCTTCGTCTTCTCGCTCTTTTTTACATCACTCGGCCTCATCTCCTGGCTGTATCCCGCCGAGATCTTCCCCACCGCCATCCGCGCCCGCGGCTCGTCCATCGCGACTGCCACGAACTGGAGCCTCAATCTCGTTTTCGCGCAGTGCTCGCCCATTGCGCTGACTACCCTGCAGTACAAGTACTTTTACTGTTTTGTTGCGTTCAACTGGGCCGCGGCGGTGATTGTCTGGGCGTTTTACCCGGAGACAGCGGGCAAATCCCTCGAGGAGGTGGGCGAGGTGTTCACTACCGGTACGCCGGCTCGGCAGCGTCGCAGGGCCCGGTGGTGTGGGTTGGATTCGCGGGAGGATGTCAAGGCAGGTGTTACATTGCAAGTTACACAGGGGAAAGAGTTTGCAATCGGGATATAGATATTAAGTGTAGTGTTTGAAGATAAAATTGTTCACTGTATAGAGAGAATATACTTCGATTATCAACCAAGCGACGCCGAGCAACCATGCCGTACCCTGTTTGTACAAACCATAAATGCGAATGATGAATAGAGAAGACGTCCAGGACTAGATGATATCACCTCAACGCAGGCATAATATAACTCGTAAGCGGCGCACTGAGAATTTCCCGCCGGAGTGCCTCCTCCCACCCCGCAACCGAGCCCTCCCACACCTGCAGCGTCAAGCACCCCAGTAGAAAATCATTGACGCGCATCCACGTCTCGTAGCCCAGGCGCTTCGCGACCTTGAGCATCCGTCCGGCGAACCAAGGCCGGCCGTGTGGCGTTCGCGCAGTGGGCGAGTACTGCGTGAAATCAGGCGGGGCGGGCTCAAGCTCAAGCTCATCCAGCAGGAAGACAGAGGGGAGGTCGGGACTGGTGCTGGGTGTGGCCGTCCCGTCGTTGCACTCCAACATGATCTGCAGCAGGGCCTCGACTGAGCCGCTCATGTTGACCTCGCTTTCGAGCACGGCCTGCTCGAGCGTGCGCAGGAAGGTCTCGCTGTGGGCGATGGATGAGCGATAGTCCCATAGGCCGGCGTTGAACATGATCAGCGCGACGAGGCGGGCGACGAATTGTTTGCGGTTGCCTGAGGCGGTGAATCGGACGCCTGGCGGGGCGGCGAGAATCTGATATAGAAGGGAGGTAGGTTGGAAGGCAGTATGGCGCATGGGTGCGATGGCGGGGTTGGTGTGTGTTTGCTGGTGGAGGGCGAGTTGCTCGCAGCGTTTGAGGAACTCGATGAACTCGTTGCATTGGTGTTGGAGTTCATCTCTGAGGGAGAATGGAGGGGACGTAGAAGGGACGCCCTCAAAATCGGTGGCAAGACAGGAGGAAATTGGTAGCGAAGTTTCGGTAATATCAGGTTGTGAATGAATAGGTGGATTGGGCTCGAAGAAAAAGCTCGGCCCATGAGTTTCATACCCCGACAGAATATAGTCCTGCCAGTTGATCAACATCCCCAGCCGGGTGTTCTCGAACGCCGCAGGCCCACCGCGCGCTCGAATCATCTCCCGAGCAGCTCGCATGTGAATCCAGCTGATCTGCTTGTGTCCCGGCCGGGGGTCAAAGTCCTCCAAACCGGCTGCACTGAGGCATGCAATGATGGCCACGTCGCTAATGTCTCCGGGGTTTGCAGCCAGATGCTCGCGGAGCATGGAGATGGCCCGGTTACGATGGACCAGAGTCATCTTCGTTTCCTCCTCGTTCCGGACCCAGGCCCATGTGTTGGCCGCGTGGACGAGAATCGTGTTCTGGAAGGCGACCGGGCCTTTCATGCCCTCGGGGACAAATACGGCCGTATACCAATTGTGAGCCTTAGGGGACCGGAAGTGGTTGCCATAAGAGCAAGCCGGCATCTCGTTGACGTAAAAGTCAAAGAGTTTGCGACCCTCCGCATCCAAATCCATAGGCAAAGTGTTGAAGGGGTCAGTTCGCGCTGCGCTGAGAATTGATTTGGGGGAGAGGGTTAGCTCGTAGGGAGTTGTTGGGGCAGAGGACAACGGTGACCGGCTGT